GCACAAAGCCGCCTTTGGGTTTCAATGCTTTCCCAGCCGCTGACTGGCTGCCTTTGAAGCAGCCGCTGAGTTTCCAGCGCCCGCACATCGGCGCCCTCTGCAGACCCCGCGCTCCAACTACCGCCGGCGAGAATCCTGGACGCTTGCACCCAGCCTCGCTCCTGCGCGGGCGGCCGCCCTGCTGAGGCGTTTGTTAGGGTTTCCCTTTGCCAGCAAGGCGGGGGTCATGTGGGCATACACTGGTCTCCCACTTTCAAACTGCCTAACCTGCCCTTCTCTGGCTCTCTGAACAGAGGTGCTGGAACTAGAGGTGCTCCTGCACCCTCTGACTAGAAATAGAAACACCAAACAGCTGCACCAGAAACTCTAGGTACCTGGCATTGCCCAGGTTTGGGGCTGCAGGGGCAGGGCCATGCAGTCTGTCCGCTTGTTTCTCCCTGGGGTTGGCCCAAGCAGGTGCCCACTGGTTTCTCCCCAGGGCCATGTGGCAGCCAACTCCTGGGGTAGCAGAGGCCCTGCTGCTGTCCAGAGGCTGCTTGTTGGGGCTGGGCTACTTGCTGACCCTTTGGTCATTTGTGAGCAGGAGCGGCCCTAGACGAGCTGCCAGCAACTGGCGCCCTAGGCGAAACGCGCGATCGGTGCCCCCGCCTCCAAACCCCTCAACGGCAGTTTATCTTGGCGCCCTAGGTGACCGTCTAGTTCGCCTGTATTGATGGGCCGCCACTGTTTGTGAGAATAACTGTCCCTCATATCACACTCCCTTCCTTTCTGTTTGATGCAAAACAATTACATTCCACACGCATTCCATTGTCCTGGTACAACAAAACCCTGAGCTTGCCTTATGATAAGAGGAAACTGCACACTCTTACTGTTCAGGAGTTCTTGAACAAATGGACTCACAGACAGATGGACTGACACTCAGACATGCACAAATTCTCTCAAATACATAGTAGATTTAAGAAACCATAAAAACTTTATTTAAAATGCACAATATATTAATATAAAATGTTCACAAAACATTTAAAATAATTTTCAGTAATAAATTCAATATCATATTTCAGCAACACACTACAATATTACAGTTATACTTTATAGTAAAAGTTAGACAGCTCAAATAGGGAAATTCTCACTGACTTCAAGTGCTATCTGGCACTTTTCCTAATATGAAAAGCAGTGCTAACAAATTACTGTGCAAATTAAACCCTGATCCTGCAGACACATATGTATGTGCTTTACTACCATGAGACTACTCATGCTAGTAAAATCAATCATATATGTGTTTGCAGGATTCAGACCTAAAATCACATATTTAAAGTTAAGCGTGTGTATAAATCTGTGTAGGATCTGGTCCTAAATTCAGTTTGTTCTAATAGGAATCACATCCATATATTATATGTAAAAATAGCACACATCATTTTAGATTAATACTGCAACTCACTGCTGTAGATAAAAATATCCTTCAGTTTCTTACAGTTTCATGAGTTGCATAGCCAGTGGTCTAGTCCTATTGTATTGGTTGGAATATAAGCCTGATAGAAGCTTACGATTTTTCAATGACTTCCGAAAATTAAACAAGGTATCCAAATTTGATTCCTACCCCATGGATGAACTCATTGTCTGACTGGGGAAGGCCTGATTCCTGTCCACCCTTGACTTGACCAAGGGCCACTGGCAGATCCCTCTGGCCCCAGAAGTCAAAGAAAAGATGGCTTTTTCAACTCCAGACGGTCTCCTCAAGGAACAGTCCTGCCTTTTGGCCTGCATAGGGCCCCTGCAACATTCCAAAGGCTCATGGACAAGTTATTACGTCTGCATGCCGAGTATGCAGTTGTGTATTTGGACGATGTTGTTGCCCACAGTCCAGACTGGGGGACACACCTCGAGAAAGTGGAAGCTGTGTTGGAGAGCTGGGCTCACAGTGAGCCCCATTAAATTCGTGATCGGGCGGACTGAAGCTAAATACCTCGGGTATATTGTGGGAGGAGTGTAGTGAGACCCCCAACTCCACAAAGTGGAAGCAATACAAAATTGGCCCCAACCAATCAGGAAGAAGCAGATCAGAGCATTCCTGGGACTGGTTGGTTATTACCGCAGGTTCATTCCCCACTCTGCTTCCAGGGCATACCCCTTGACAGACCAGATCCTGCGTCCCCGACATCATAAAATGGACCACTGTGCCAGAAGAAGCTTTTACGGACCTGAAAACGGCACTCTGCAGTGACCCAGTTCTCATAGCCCCCAATTTTAAGAAGGAGTTTATCCTGCAGACTGATGCCTCAGAAGTAAGGTTAGGTAGGGGCCGTGTTGTCGCAAATGGTTGGGAAAAAGGAACACCCAGTTCTATATCGCAGCAGGAAGCTCCTGCCAACGGAACAAAACTATGCTGTGGTAGAGAGGGAATGCCTTGCAGTAAAATGGGCCATGGAGAGCCTACATTACTGCTCCTTGGGTAAAAGTTTACCCTGGTCATCAACCACACATCCCTGCAATGGATGCACCAAAACAAGGACAAGAATGAAGAAATATGGTATGTGAACTTTGTGGTTTCATACTTCCTGGCTTAGAATAATATAAAGCAAATAACGCTAGCATTTTTTTGAACACAAGGCAGCCATATCAGACTTCTGTCCACTAACACTAATAGAGCTCCCCCAGGAGAACTAGATGTGTGTGAGAGGGGATCTTTTAAAAAGTAAGATTTAAGTGGATTTATGTATGTTTTTCATCTTGAGTACTTTTTGTTAAAACAAAAGGCTATTTCCAATGAGAAACATTATGTCCCGGGAAACAGACAGTGTTTTCCATCAAAAGTAAAAGCATGATTTTGCCTTGGAAGAAATTTCATATTCTGCTCTGACAAAAGTAGTGTTCTCTAGTGAACAAGAGAAAATTGCACCCTGTATCACATTTACAAATATTGGAGGCAATACTAGATGAACTTTCACAAATAAATGTTGCAAAGTGAAAATTGGAGGCTTCATTTGGACTGAGGCTTCATTTGGACTTGGTTTCCATTTAACTTAATTTAATCTATGCCTCATTAGCTTGATTCAATAGCTTTTACTGAAAAAAAAGTCAGCATTATCTTCAAAGCGCTACTGATTTGCCCTCTAGCGACCTAGCTTAGAATTGTAACTTGTCCTTTCTTAAGAACTAGGAAGAACAAGAAATATTGATCGTTAAAGGAATATATTAGGATATTGCATTTGTTTGTTGTTTTTCTGGGGCACTGATTTATTGTATTAAAACTATTTCCTATATGACTATTTTGTACTTAATTAAATATTCTTTATGTTTAAAACTATAAATATTTTACCATAGTGCAGCAGTTCTCAAACTGAAGGTCAGAATCCCAAAGTGGATCACACTGTTTTAATGTGATCCTTAGGGCTGGCTTAGATTTGCTTATACTCAGAGCAGAAACCCAAAGCCCAAGGGCTTCAGCCTTGGACAGCAGGGCTCAGGTTAGGGGCCGCTTGCCTGGGGCTGAAGACCTTGGGCTTGGGGCCCCCAACCCAAAGCAGCAAGGATCAGGCTTAATTTCCCCCCTCCTAAGGTTATATAGTAATTTTTCTTTTCAGAAGTGGGTTCAGTGAAGTTTGAGAACTCCTGCCATAGTGGAATGCATGTTCCGAGAATGTTAAGATACTAGGAAAGTACTAGATCTGGGAGAACATCTCATATCTAAATTCAATCATTTAGCCATGTCTGAATGTATAGTACAGTAAAACTCCAATAGTCCGGCACCCAATTGTCCGGCTCTCCCGATAGTCCGGCATCAAAATGACAAGCGCTCCTGACAGAACCGGGAAGGAACCCGGAACCACTCAGGTCAGCCACTCTCATGTGGGTTACAGCAGGGAGGAGAAGTGTTTGGCTCCGGGGAAGGGGGAGGGGGAGAGAAAAAGAGAGGAGGATTGGGTTACTCACAGCGTCCTGGCCAGCTGATTGAAAACCAGGGCCGCTCAGCGCATGTGCCCCAGCACTTGGAGGGAGACATACGGCTGTACCGGCGACTCCGGGACCCAAGCGGGAGAGGTGGGGGGGGGGGGCAGAAGGGGATTGGGTTGAGAGTATGCAGTACCTCCTGATACTCCAGCATATCCAATAATCCGGCACCACGTAGGTCCCAAAGGTGCCGGATTATTGGAAGTCTACTGTAGATAAAAACATAATCCAAAAATACTGGATGTAAAAGCTAAAATTTAAAATTACACATACTATTTTCTCTGCAATTAAAATTACTCTTTTTAATTTAAAATGGTCTGTGACATGAAATTAATGGGGAGCAGGTTTAAAACTAATAAAAGAAAGTTCTTCTTCACACAGCGTGTAGTCAACCTGTGGAACTCCTTGCCAGAGGAGGCTGTGAAGGCTAGGACTATAATAGAGTTTAAAGAGAAGCTAGATATTTTCATGGAGGTTAGGTCCATAAAAGGCTATTAGCAAGGGGATAAAATGGTGTCCTTGGCCTCTGTCTGTCAGAGGCTGGAGAGGGATGGCAGGAGACAAATCACTGGATCATTGTCTTTGGTCCACCCTCTCTGGGGCACCTGGTGCTGGCCACTGTCGGTAGACAGGATACTGGGCTAGATGGACCTTTGGTCTGACCCAGTACGGCCATTCTTATGTTCTTATGACATACAAGTAAAATATAAACATAAACATTAAATACTTATGTAAAAAATAGCTCATAATAGTACTAAGCGAATGTGCAATGAAAAACTACTTTGAGTCACCATTCCAACTTCATATCTGCTTTACTCCACACATATTTTCCTCCTCTATTCAGAAACATCTTCTCGTCAAATCCACTGAATTTTATTGCATGTTGTACACCTATATCCAGGATAGATTTGGAAGGCTCTTTCCGTCCATGTCTACAGTTCAGAAAACGCATCTAAAAAATTGTAGATTAAGAAAATTAGGAAGTGGTTAAAAGTGGAGTATTTCTACAAAATTAAACATCTGAAGCTCCTATCCTACAAAAGTCTATGCACATGGTTAGCCTATGTAAAACAGTAATTCCACTGATGCCAATGAAATTGTTCAAAAGTATAAAGTTAAGCTAACAATAAATCTTTGCATGACTGGAATTTTACAATATCAATAATTGTTTTTCTCCCAAAAGATGTTAATTAGTTGCAAAATATTCTGCTAAAATAGATATAGATAAAGAATGCATATTTCTGTATAAATTGTTTCTGAACATTAAAAAACTTCCTAACTGTCAGGGAGGTTAAACACTGGAATAAGTAACCTAGGAAGGTTGTGGACTCTCCATCTCTAGAGATATTTGTGAGCAAGTTAGATTGACATCTGTCAGGGATGGTCTAGACCCGTGTTTCTAAAGGTGCTCTGCGAGGCCACTTTGGGTATGTCTAGACTACATGCCTCTGTCGCCCATGACAACCTACTTTACTTAAGAGCCTCTGATGATTTGTGGAATGTGCTATACAGGGGTAAACAGTAAACTGAAATAATTTAATTTAGCCTATCAAACCATGAATAATAATACAGGTTGACCCTCCCTGGTCCAACACCTTCAAGGCCTGAGTGGTCCCGAAGGAGGGAGTATGCTGGACCAGAGGAGGTTAGGCCTTGGGTTTTTCCGAGGCTCCCCTCCTGGCCACCAGCCTGGCCAGTGCCCTGATGCCCAGCCAATTGGCAGAGTTCCACTCCCAGCTACCACCCCACTCTGGCCGATGGGGCTCCTTTCCTGCCCATGGTAGTGTCTCTGCATTCCTGGCTTCAGGGGCTCCCTAGCTATGGCTGGCGGTGGCTCCATGCCCCCAGGCGGCAGTGCTCCCTGCCCAGCCCTGCTCTGGCTGCTAGCACCTGGTTGGACTCCCTGCCCACAGGCAACTGGTCACTGAGGCTGCCTGCCAGCTGAGCTCACAGCCAGTGGCAATTTCTGTGGATGGTCGTAAAGGACTACAGATGTTGCCAAACCAGAGAGCCCTGGACCACAGAGGCTCACCCTGTAAGGCCTATGTTAACTGACAAATATTTACCCATTAAGTAGCAAACAAAAACTTACATATTCATCCAGAATGAGGTATGAATCTCTCATCTGTAAAAGCATAGGAAAAAACCCTATAAATTACTAGATCAAAAAAAATGATATAAAGTTTAAAGTGAAAGTTAGAGGAGAAGTAAGGTTTAGGTGAAGTATCCATTCACTTAGGCTTTGTCTCCACTGTGAGTTTTTGCAGCAGAAAATATGCTAATGAGGGACTCTGCTGCAAAAACTTGCACTGTAAACAAAGCCTTAGTGCCTCATCCAAAACCCTTTGGAATCAGCTGGAGTCATTCCATTCACTTTGATGAACTTTGGAACAGATTGTAATAGTGCTCAGATACACAGGTGCTTCAAAATATATCCAATCACTTATGTGAATGTTCACATCCGCAAAAATGACTATATGAACTACAAAATGTGTAGGATGTGGCCTATTTTAATGCATCCACATTGAAAACTGGGCTCAGAGGCTGTGTCTAGACTACATGGCTCCATCAATGGAGCCATGTAGATTAGGGTTGTAGGCAAAGGCAAATGAAGCCGCGATTTAAATGATCGCGGCTTCATTTAAATTTACATGGCTGCCGCACTGAGCCGACAAACAGCTAATCAGCTGTTTGTCCACTCAGCGCGCTAGTCTGGACGCTCCCCTGTGGACATCAAAGCCCTTTGTCGGCAGCCCCGTTATTCCTCGTGGGATGAGGTTTACCGGGGCTGCCGACAAAGGGCTTTGATGTGGGCAGGGGAGCGTCCAGACTAGCGCGGTGAGCGGACAAACAGCTGATCAGCTGTTTGTTGGCTCAGCGCGGCAGCCATGTAAATTTAAATGAAGCCGCGATCATTTAATCGCGGCTTCATTTGCCTTTGCCAAAAAACAAATCTACATGGCTCTGTCAATGGAGCCATGTAGTCTAGACATACCCAGAATGTTTAAAAATACTATTAACTATCGTCTGTTAAAATGTGACTGTCCATAAATGTTGTGATCTGGCAATAAATTCCTCTGGATTCTGTCATTTTGTTTTTTAAATTCACTATGTGGGTTAAAAAACCTAAACTTTTACTATAATTCTATTTTAATGCCCCCATCTACTTTATCACCACCAACATTTCCTGGTCCACCTACTATAGAAATCAATTGGAAAATTCCCACTGATTTGAATGGGGACAGAATTGGGCTAATTAACTTTAAATATCCAAGTGTCATGTGGCTTTTCACTGCACATGGAATAGATTTTTTTTTAATTATTCAAATATAAAAACCCAGACACTAAAGGAATTATGATGTTAACTTCTAAGCAAGTACATGTAGGCAAAGTATTAGCTATTTTCTAGTTTCTAATCATAAAGAATTATCGAGGAATAGCTTTTTTTACCTTCTGATTGGATTCTGGTACTAAACATGAGATCTCTCTATGGCGATCTAGAAATAGTTCAAAATCTTCATCGCTGATAATAAATCTATTTGCTTCTCTCAATGCATCTTCACCTGTATTCTCTCCTTCAATTAGCAGGCACTGGAATACCTGAAATACAGAAAGTATATGATGAAGGCTGTCTGTCTGACATAATTACTATGGAAAAAACCAGAACATAAACCCCACCAGGCCTAAGAGGACTCAGTTCCTTCTTTTCACAATGGTTTTAACTGATTGTCGACTTCACTGAAGAATTAGTCACACTAGCATACCATTTTTATTTGATCTGAGGAAGTGGGTCTGGCCCACGAAAGCTCATCATCTAATAAACCATCTTGTTAGTCTTTAAAGTGCTACATTGTCCTGCATTTTGCTTCAACTAGCATACCAAGGAGAGTAAAACCAGTGTAAATGAGAGATGGCAACAGGGTGAAATTCTGGCCCCACTCAAATCATTGAAGTTATGCTATTGACTTCAATGGATACAAGATTTCTCTCATACTTTTTTTTCGTATAGATCAAATTGGTTGATACCCCACTCTGGTACACCAGTTTTATGCTGGTCCAATTACATGTATTTCAATGGAATTAAAATGCTACAAAACTATTGTAATGGAATGGAGGATCAGGCTATTGAGAGAGACTCTTCCATGAGTAATTATGCATTTAAAAGCATGCTCGCCTTGCAAGATTTTAAATTGAGGACATCTATTTAACACTTTTAAACACAGTTTTCTAATGAAAAATATACTTAATAAATATTGTGTATTCGATTTTCCTTTTTCAAGTAATCTGACATTTTCAATTTTTTCCCTATAAAAATGACTGTTCCCTATATGTCTCCAAATCACCAGACTTCTGTATGGTGAAAAAATATTTCCTTGTAAATAACTCAAAGGGGCAAATTCACAACTGTATCTGATTGACACATAAAAGTAGTGAGAGAAGTGGTCTGCCTAGAAATTGGTTATGGATCCCTGATACTAAGTGCCATCAATACATTAGAGCCATACTTCTCTCACACCCAATTGGAAAATCAGGCATAGCAGAGCTAGGGATGTTAAAAACCCTACTGAATATTTGGTTGCAGGCAGTGGGACCTGCTCTAAGCCCCACCACAGCCATGTGTGAGCAGCGGGGGCTGCTCCACGCCCACTGCCACCCATCGCAGCCTTGCTGGGTGAGCCACCATTGTGTGTGGGGGGGTAAGGCTCCAGCTAACTGATTAGCCAGTAAGGCATATGCTTACTGGTTAACCGGTTACCTGGTTAACCTTTAAAATCCCTAAGCAGAGCTCTGTTCCACCATGCTCCTTTCCTGTAGGATTGAAAACTTTCATAGAATCATAGAATAATAGGACTGGAAGGGACCTCGAGAGGTCATCGAGTCCAGCCCCCCGCCCTCAAGGCAGGACCAAGCTCCGTCTACACCATCCCTGACAGATGTCTATCTAACCTGTTCTTAAATATCTCCAGAGAGGGAGATTCCACCACCTCCCTTGGTTCCACCACCTCACTTTCCACCACCTCACTTTCTACCAGCACAAAGCCAAACACCTTTACCCCATCCCTTCTCCGAGGCCCCACCCCTGTCCTGGCCCCTGCCAGAGGCCCTGCCTATCATTCACTCCATCCCCCATCCCTCAGTCACTTGCTCTCCCAACCTCACTCATTTTCACTAGACTGGGGCAGGAGGTTGGGATGCAAGAGAGGTGAAGCCGCAGCTCAGGATGTGGGCTTGGAGTGGGGTTGGACATGAAGAGTTCAGGCTGTGGGAGGGGGCACTGAGTTGAAGCAGGGAGTTGGAATGTGGAGGTGAGTTCTGGCTGGGGGAGTGGGCTCTATGGTTTGGGATACAGGAGCAAGCTCTGAGCTGAGGCCAAGGAGTTCATAGTATGGGAAGGGCTCAGGGCTAAGGAAAGGAATTGGTTGCAGGGTTGTGATGCAGGCTCTGGCTTGGAGTGTGGGCTCTGGGTTGAGGGGGTTGCAGTGCAGGCCTCAGGGCTGAGGCAGGGCGTTGGGGTGCAGGATTCATGAGGGAGCTTGGGTGCAGGAGGGAGTTCCAGCCTGGGACGGGGCTGGGATGTGGGAGGAGATTCAGGATCCATGCTCCAGCTATGTGATACTTACCTCAGGTGGTTCCTACAAGCAGCCAGCATGTCCAGCTCCTAGCTAGAGGGACAGGGGGTTCTGTGCGCAGCCTGTGCCTACAGGTGCCACTTCCGTTGGCCATAGTTCCCAGCCGGTGGGAACTGCAGAGCTGATGCCAGCACTTAGGATGAGAACAGCGTGCAGAATCCCCATGACCGCCCCCATACCTAGGACATGCCAGCTGCTTTCAGGGGCCACACAGAGCCAGGACAGTCAGCAGTGTTGACCGGAACTACCAGGGTCCCTTTTCAACCAGGAGTTCTGCCTAGCAACTTCTTCCAGATGCCTAGCAACTTCTTCCTGCTTTCCCCCTTTCCCTGTGAAGAAAATATGTTGCCCTGTATTTCCTGCTTACCTTCCATCGGACAGGATTTAGTGCCTTAATCTGTTCATTCATATCTTCGTCAACATTAAATCTATTAATTACTGAATTTAATTTAAAAGCCACAGAATAATCATGGCACCACTTTCTCAGTTTCTTGAGATTCTCGATGTGGCTTTTGTTTCCTTGCCCACGGCCAATTAGAACGTTGACTTCCTCATCGAAACTATCACAGGAAACTGCAAGAATGTCTAGGTATTTCCCTGAAATAAAGAATACATTAGATAACATTAAGTGTCTTTAGTAAAGAGTAGTCATCAAGTGCCCAGCTCTGCCCACTTCCACCTCCAAGTACACCCTAAAAACCCATTCCGAAGAACACTATCAAAGAGATTTCCACATGGTCATGGGAGAACTGGATTGGATCTCAGAGGTGACATACAACTCTTATACACAGACATGAGGATGCCTATGCCAGTGGTTCTCAAAGTGTGGTCTGTGGACCACTAGTGGTCCACAACTATCTTGCAGGTGGTCTGCAGGCTTGGGGCTTGCCCTCCTGCCCAGCAGCAGGGAATCTGCGCTGGCGCTCCAGTCCTCCACCCGCCCATGAGTTTGGAGCGCTAGTGCTGGCTTCCTACTGCAGGGGAGGAAGGGGGAATGAGTTCTGCAGGTCAGATCTGGCTTATGGGAGAAGGAAGCGGCTCCACATGCTGCGGCTCTTCCTCCCCCCAGCTGGGAGAATGGTGGCACAGCAAACTGCTCGCCTGGAGGCTTTCCCGACTGCTCCCATTGACTGGAATCACCACCAGTAGAAGCAGTGGAGGGCAGTGCCTGGGAGCAGTGGGATGCATGGAGCCAAGTAAGTACCCCCCATCCCTATCCCTCTCAGACCCTGTACCCTCATCCCCTCCCCCCAGACCCCTCTATAACCCGTTCCTGCACCTAACCTCCCACCCAGAACTCGCACTTTAACCCACTCCTCCACCCATTTTGTCATCATGGATGGTTGGCTGGTGATCTGCAGAAAAGTCTGCGTTGAGCAGGGTGGGCTGCGGGCCAAAAAGTTTGAGAACCACTATCCTAAGCTAAAGTCAGTCTAAATACATTTGATTGACAAGTACATTTAAAATGTTTTAGTTTTCTTTTTATTTACTGTAAAGGTACTATTACCAAAATTATCCACAGACAACAGACTACTACGAAACTGAATTTTGAAGACTTCTGAAACCCATGCAATTTTTAAAGCATATTCATCATTCTTTCTTACCATAACGCTTGAACCATCGCTCTCTAATCATGCTGCCATTGCTCACAATGCTGACACTTGGCAGCTTTAATTCCTGCTTGCAAAACTGGACCAATTTGCCTACAAATTCTCCCTTCTCATGCAGAAATGGCTCTCCTCCTGAAAAGTTTATTTTCTCCATACCTAGTATGGGACAAAAAAAGAGAAATACTGTTTAGACTGAGATAAATTAAAGTTGACAACTTTTTCTCACAACATATGCGCTGAAGATCACAGATATACTAATCTATTCCGTACAGCAATCTCTTACTATCTTTTGTCCAGATATAAATAACTCCCATTGAGATCAACCCATTTCAAATATGTATGAAAAGGGGAAACCTTACAGGAAAAGTCCTGTAAACTGGACTTTTAAGAATCAGATTTGCTTCCTTGGTTTTGGATACCTGCACCTATTGCAGTTTTTGTATCATTTCACATTTAAGGTAGAATTAGATTTAGGCTACATTTTATCACTTCTCCAAAAATATCCCCTATACTGTACTTTCAATACTTTTTCAGCACATGACTGAATAAGGAGAATTAGAATCTAAATCTACTTTGCTGGGCTTCTTTTGCTTTGGATCACAGCTTTAAAAATGGGCTCCTAGGGAAAGGTGCAAGAGAGAACTGGAGAAATTCTTGATCAAAAAGGGGGGATGTTGTCAATTGTCCCCTCCTCGTCCCCCATGAAATTCAACATTTGGCTAAAAAGTGTAAAATAATCTTAATAATGAATAACAATGAACACTGGAACCAAGTCAGATTATTTCCTGCACCGACTGAACGATCCAGCCAGCCTGCGGGTGAGAGGCGGAATGTCCCGACCTATAGCGACCCCAGCAACGGAGGTCATAGGGGGCGGCAGTGGGACAGACTCACCCGCCTCCTTGAGCATGGCCAGCCCCTTCTTGGCCTCCTCGAGGGGCAGCACGAAGGAGGTCTTAGCCGTGTGGAAGCAGAGTTACACTGGCGGGTGAAGTGATAGTTGACGCTGGTGGGGACCGTGGGTGCCTCGGCGTCGTACGGCTCCTTAGCGCCCCGCTCCACAGGTGGGGGGCTCCTCCCCGGCAGCAGCACCCCGCGGAGCCAGCAGGAGAAGGGCTCCAGGCGGAGCCAGAGGGCGCTCAGCTGAGCCTGGAGGAGCCGGAGCAGCATGTCCAGAGCTTGGGGCAGGCAGTGCATCGCGGCGCGGGCTGCAGCGCTCTGAGGTGCAGAGGAGAGGCGCGGGCTGCATTTAATAGCGAGCAGCATGTGACAGGCGCTGCTGCCTGGAGAAAGGATGGAGGCAGTTTCGGTTTCCATTACCGAGAAGTGAAAGTGGCCTCGGGGTGGTGGCAGCAGGCGAGAGGTGTGTGGAGCCTCTGACCCGCTGAGGCCCGTTACACGGGGCCGCCCCCACACGCCCTGCCTGTCGCCTGTTCCGAAACAGGCGCTTTGGAAAGATGCCCCACTCCTGGTTTCAGCCGCTCTGCGCCCTGCTTCCCCCCTACACAAACGGAGCGGTGTCCGCAGAGCTATCCTACACAACTGTTTGCATCGGAGGTGCCCACCCGGGAATCCCCTAAGCGACACATGACGCGACGGTCTGCAAACAGCGCTCCAGCCAGCAGGTCTGAGAGCAGGCGTGTGCTCTTTCCTGCTGTGGCATAACAAAGCATATGCATCTCTTTGCCCAGAAAGCTTATGCCTCAATACATTTGTTAGTCTATAAGGTGCCACAAGACTTCTCGTTGTTTACCCAAGCCGGGCTCCCTGCCCCCCAACAGGGTTCTTCTCCTGGACCCTTACCTTGCAGGTGCCAGGCCATGGGCTGGGGCTCTCTGGTCCAGTAAAGTTGACGGACTAGAGATGTTGCCAGAACAGGGAGTTTCAACCTGTACTTCTCTGCAATGTATTTTGCAAGCATAGTCTTCTCCTGCATATAACTTTCTAGTACAGCCTCGGGCAAAGTATAAAACCAGCTGAACTTTTGACAGGGTGAAACATCAGGAGCCTCATTCTCTCTCTATTGGCATCAGTGCAAATTGCTTATATTTGGCACACAGAGTAAGAATCTGACTCTTGCACACAAAGTGTCTCTGATCAAGTGTAGCTATGTTCAAGGTGGGGGGAAGACGGGCTGGTTGGAGCCCGGGATCAGCCTAGGACTCCTCCACTGATCCCAGGCTCCATGTGGTGCTGCTGTTTGGAGCCTGGCATCAGGCTGCACTCAGTGTTTCAAAGCAGCAGCGCCACACGGAGGCTGGTGTCAGCAGGGGTGTCCCCAGCTGAGCAAAGGCTCCATGCGGGGCTTTTGACTTTTAAGTGTGAAGGGCGCACTTCAAAGGAGGAGGCACCCTATAGACTAATCGAATAGTCGATGCAAAAATGCATTGACTATTCAATCAGTCAGTTAGTTGATATTTACTATCCTTAGCATGTGCTCTACGCAGCCTCCCCAGCCCCAGAGGAAGGTGCACCACACTGCACAGTTCGGCTAAGTGATGGCAAGGAGTTCCACAGGTTGACTATTTGCTTTGTGAAGAAGAACTTTCTTTTATTAGTTTGAAGCCTGCTACCCATTAATTTCATTTGGTGTCCTCTAGTCCTTATATTATGTGAACTAATGAAGAACTTTTCTTTATGCACCCTCTCCACTCATGATTTTATAGACCTCTATCATATCCCCCCTCAGTCTCCTCTTTTCTAAGCTGAAAAGTCCCAGTCTCTTTAGCCTCTCTTCATATGGGACCTGTTCCAAACCCCTGATATTGTAGTTGCCCTCCCCTGTCTCACCCTCTCTCTTCCCCTCTCCCACCTCCTTTTCCCAGTCTCCCTGAATTTTGTTCAATAAAGAGAGTTTCTATTTTTGAACACACGTGTCCTTTATTTTATACATCAGGAAGGGGGGG